GGTAACAGACCTCTTAGGGAGGCTGGAAACGCTGACCAGAACATTGGCTGGCCTCTGCCAGTCATCAAATGCGTAGGTTATGTCGACTTTGGAACACAACTACGATTCGGAGGTGAAGTAGAATGCATGGCTCATCCCAAAAAGGTGCTGATAAACGTCACAATGTTCCTTCGTCATGTGTCATGTCAGCCTCAGTACAGTTTTCGGCACTGACCACACAAAATCATTGTCTCTGCAAATGAAAAGGCGTGTGAGGGGAAGGGCAGGTGGGTTCTGGATTGGAACGCGGCTAGGCTGCCTTTTCCATCATTTGTTACAAGCTTGGGAAGCTTGGGATGGCATCTTTGTGGGGTTGGTCGCCCTGATTGCGCTGCAGTCCTCTCCCCCACCCCTTCCATTCCCACTCCCACACGCCTTGTCGATGGTAATTGTAAGTAATGAACTACTGATACATGAATATTACGGCATGCTTTTCGTATTTTACTGTTATTTTTTGGGATTTGAATTTTGTTTTTCTGAGGTGATTAATTTCATTTTTCAGATGGTTTATTCCGTTTGTTATGGATTGGTTGAACGAGAACGATGAGCACTCTATGGACATCTTGCGAAATGCTTATAACAGGTAAAGAAAATCAATTTTGGACCACAGCGATAGAAATAAAGCGCAAGTTTCAGGGATAAAGCCGACAACTTCCCTCAAACATCTGATCACACTCGTTTCTCCAACAGTGTTGTAGACGTTTTCACACAGTTGAATGAGGCTTTGAAACTGCTGAAACAAGTGGGTGTTCTTCAGGGATGTTCCTGCTGGAAATGATGTTGTTTATGAGATCTTTACTTTACAGATGGATTGCCCTAACCCAGTCGTTTATGCGGATATGATGAAGCGATTCAGTAAGACATTGAATAAGGTAAGCAGATTTGAGAAGGTTCATTTATCTCGAATCACCACCTTAGCTAAAGTTGCACCCTTAGTCGGTAGTTGCACCCACTGTCACAAGGGCGGCAGTAAACGACTATAAAACGATGCTTTTCCAAGTGATGGGCCTGGAAATGGCATGAGGGCCAGCAGAGCATGATGCTTTCACTGCTCTCCCAAGCCCATCTCCAGCTTCTTTTGCGCGTATTTAGCGCGTCCTCCTTCGCTAAGATAAACCCGTACACTATTTATTTTTTCTCATTTATAAAACTTATTTTACAGGTTCTTCTCGGGCCTTTTACGCTGATATGCGTTCATAAAGATTCTCCAAGTTTCATCGAATGGAAAGCCTCGGCCTGCATCTCATGCAACCAGATCGTGCAGCAGCTGAGGTAAGGCTCGAATAACATTCAGTGTGCCGTATGCACAGGCTGTTAAAAAAGCGTTGAAAGCTTAACGTTATCTGCGCGTCATATCAGATAGCCGTATTGTCGCGATCAATCAGGGCAGTACTAGCAGGCATGGAATGAGCCCCTCAGCGTTTCCTTTCAATAGTGTTAGGACTTCAGCAGCAGAAAGGAACCAAGTTATTAAGAGAACGCCGTGGCGGCGGGGCTCATTTCACTCCCTCTTGGCACCGCCCCTACTGTTTGCAACGATATCAACTGTATTTATCTATTCAAAGACGCACGGTCGTGCCCCTCCTGAACTGACGGGAAAAAAACAGAATTCAGTTTTCGGGTGGCTCACAGAAGAACGAAAAATGGAAGGAACGCGAGGAACTCCAAAGTTCGAACAAAGAAAGAAACGTTAGGGAACGCATATTGACTGTAGTTCGGAGTTACTTAAGGGCACTGAGCATGATGACAGGGTTTCTGCCGATGTCATTGGTGGAAATGTGGGGTGAGATGTAGCCGAACGCCCTCCCACCCAATTGAAACTGGCACTGCCCGCCCCTTTGCCGTCGCGATCTGGGAAGCACGGTATCATTCAGGCGTGGAATTGAGCCCAGTTGGCTGCAACCTTTTCCTTACCCAGTGATGATTTTTTGTTCTGGAAACAACACTTGTAGGGTCACACTGGTGTATTCCACGCTTCCTTGGCACTCCCTCCCCCCCCCTCCCCCGGCGGATATTACTGTCTTTATGTTTATACAGTTGTTATGCCTAAACTGCTCTGTCTGAAGCAGAACCTACAAAATTTCAGAGTTCAACTCGAGAAAATCTATGAGACCATGGGTGGTCAGGAATTGGATCCGACATGTAGCCAAGTCCTCACCAACCTCCAGAAAAAGCTGAACAGCGTTCTGGACAAACTGTCTGGCCAGGTAAAAGCTCTTCTGTAATTGGCTTTCTTCGAACATCTTTTTAATTAATATTTATTCGAAATATCAAAATCGCATACCATCATTAATGTTTGGAAATATCATGTTTTTTTTCAGTTTGTGGCAACGCTTGAGCCAATGATTGCTGAGCAAACGAACAAGCTCGGCGTGCTACTCTGCAAGATCAAAGGACCTCAACTTCAGAAGACTCAAGTTGCAGCGGTAAGAATCTTTTTGTCGCTGCTACGATCATTTCCCTGGGCGTCACTGAGTGTTCTCTTTGAATCTGATGTTTTTGGCCTCAAAGCGTCTACTTACTGGTATGGGTCGCAACGCGACCTGCGGCGGTAAATACAAGGTTATTATCACCATTTTCAGGAGGTGGACGCAGTGCTGGAGCCACTCATGGACCTGTTGGAAGGATCGTTGCAACGATATTTCCAACAATGTGAAAAGACTGTCCTCAAGTACATTTTGAAGGTCGGTCAAACTACTGAGCTATTTCAGGACCATTGTTTCCAACCGTTTAACTCAACCTTAATATTCAGGAATTGTGGAGGATAACGATTGTCAGTATGGAGAAACTGGTGGTGCTCCCTCCCCTCTCGGACAAGACGGTTAGTTTTTTCATGCTTATAAATACTCGTTGAGGCGTTTTGGTTTGGTAGCGGCATTTTGCATTTTCACTAGTTCCTTTTGCTAGTTCATAGCAAGGTCTGATTTTGGACAAGAATCTATTGGTCTTCACAAGATGGCCTGAACTAACATCGTAGCTAAGTACCATTTGGTGCCCCCACCCCTCCAAGCCGACCTTCTCCTCATTATTACCGATAGATGACACAGTTTTGGGTATTGGGCCTTGGCCAAACGAGTAACTGGAAAAGCCTAAGTTATGCAGTGTTCTCTGATTTATGGCAGCGGTCAGAACCAAAATCTTATAAGGATTTACCGCTTACGTTTCATGATTATCACCTTAGTCGGAGCCTGCAAATTTAAAGATCAGTGTAAACAACTTTCCTTGGAAAAGGTCGGGCGTGGTCGCTCAAGCACCGTTCTTTGGCTCATCCTTTTAGCCGTGACTCAAATCCTGTCAGGGCTTGAAGAGGTGTTTCGGTGGCTGGCGCAGCTCGGCTTGGTGGGGCATCAAATGGTACTGAGTAAAGCCTGTACTAGCCACTTTGTGAAGACCTATTGTGTGGAACTTACGAAAGTGCAAACCCTACGCGCCCTATGAAGCACTTGACCCATCGCTATGATCCCAAGTTCCACCCTCCCACGTAATGCATCGCAAAATCAGAGCACGTCGTACGTTAGAGAACCCCAGCGAGAAAGGAAGGGTTCGCATTTGGTCGCTGAGAAGGAGGGTTGTATTCTTCTTCGAGAATAATGTTTTTGGGCGGCAATTTTTCGGGGAAAACGCGGAAAGTAGGAGGATTTTAGATTGTGATGGTAGGGGATTGGAAGGAGTCCGTACCAAAGGAGGAATTTCGAGGGCGTCGTATTCGGCGGAATTTTCCTTAAAAGCATGCGACAGCGCGGCCTCTACACAAATAGCCGGGCCGTGCAGCACTAACATTTGTTAGAGCCAGGTGCTGAAAGTGTGCCAACCGTGTAGATTTATCATTGTCTTCGGATTGCGCCTCCCCAGACGAGCATCCTGCCAATAACCGAATTCGCCGGGAACTGATGCGTAATCCCCTTCAAGGTTTAGTGAGGCCACCTATGAGGTAGCCCTTTCTGCCTTTGTACCAACTAAAACTGCTGCTTACATTGCCGGAAGGCACAACTGTGGCTTACCATGGAAGACCGAGATCAGCAAGGCTGCGATAAATGGGTGCTTATGAAGAAAACAACTGTTATAAGAGCTGTACAATTTGTCACTTCTTTCGTTTCAGCTACTGAAGCAATTACCAAACGCTAAAATCCAGGACGTAACGAAACTGATGTCTACCAATATCCAGAATATCAAAGGAATGAGCTCTGTGAAGGACATGATGGTAAGGAAATACTCTGTAATCGTGTTAATCCTGCGCGGGGGGACAAGTTTTGAAACCTTATTAAAAGCCCCCCTCCAACACTAGCCGTATAGGTGTGAGTCGGACAAGTTGCGTTTCTCTTCTCTCAAGTAATAAAGGAGAGTAACGTACCTGGAGGTTCAGCCGTCACTGCCGAAGCCGGAGTATGCCTTTAAAACGCTCACCTCTAGGGTTGCCTTTCGAAGTAACGATCATGTCTGAGCCAATAGCGAAAATTACGCTCTTTCGTATGCTCGGGGATGCGCGAGGGCGCGGCTACTGTGCTTCATTTGAATATGGCCGGTACGCTTTTCTTGGTATACTGCCATTTAGGAACAACTGCAATCATGTGATCGCTTAGCACAAGACAGGATAACAATCGTCTTGAATGGAAGTGAATCTCACAAAAACGCGTCCTCTTTAAAATGCCTTCCATTACGAAACAGTACCTGACCAGGCCCCCCTCCCCTATTGCCAGGATATTAAACGCACCAATAACAGCGCCCCCATTTTTGCTTAGTGAGTGAGATGTGAAAGGAAGTGCTTTGTGGGAGTGTTGCTCGTATGGGAGATGTGGTGGGCTTACGTATTTTTAGTTGACTTATCATCATTAATTCGCTCGGGCGAAAAATAATGCGAAAGCCCTTTGCTGGCTCACTTTCATGCTTAAATCTTTCCAGGATATGGCCCGGGAATGCGAACGATCGTTGACGCCCAAGCAGTGTACTGTATTGGATGCTGCGCTGGATGCCATTAAAGGTGAGACTTCGATTTTTATATGACGGTTATCAATTGGATTTCCACTATTCTTCTGTTTCAGAGTGCTTCCACGCTGGTGGACAAGGTCTGAAGAAGTCCTTCTTCGAAAAGAGTCCTGAGTTACAATCGCTAAAGTATGCGCTTAGCTTGTACACGCAGACCACCGAGCAACTCATAAAAACGTTCATCACCAGTCAGAAACAGCAAGGTATGTGTTTTTAAAAGTTTTTCATTGAAAAATCAGTAAGGCTCCTTCCCACCTTGCCCCATTCTAATCCCTCCTCACCGGCGTTGTGGCAGCGATGGGTGGTCCTTGAGGTGACATTATGTAAGATTGAACGCGATCCTATCGGAAACTTACAGGTTCAGTTCTCAACAAACGCAAATTTCACTTCAGATTCTGGCAGTTTACAGTCGTGCAGTCGTTTGCTCTGCACACGCTGCGGCGTGTCAGGGGGCTAGGTTTAGCGCGGCCAGCTCGATCTACATCAAATGTGGAGCGAGCGAGCAGCAGCGACTGGTGGAAAATGAGCTGGCGCCGCGTTATATCCAGCCCTCTGACACGCAGCGAAAAACGTCTGCATACGATTGGTTTCCTCATATCTTAAAAAGTGCTCCTCAGGAAATTCGTGTGAGCAGTGACATGGCTGGGAGCATCCATTCTGCCTTCCTTACTGGCGCATATCCCGTTTGCTGCCTTGAAAGGAGGAGTGCGCCCATAAAGATGATATCATGACTGTCTCCGCCCACATAATCTATGTGGACCCCACCTTTGAAAGGAACGTGTTCAAAATTTTCCTAACGGGACTGGTCTAAAAGGCGCATGGTTGAGGGGTTCACTGTATTATTTATCTTTCATCTCTCTCTCCACAAAAAAAGGCTGTAGAAAAAGGGACCACTCGACTTGAATGAGCTTCTTTGTTTTATATGCCACTGCTGTGCAAACCTCCAATTACTGACCTGTAGAGTGTTTGCCAGTGTCTTTGGGGGGGCTTGACTCTTATATGTGCTCGATTCAGATTTGCCTTCGCAAGAACAACCGGTTGGAGAGGTGAGCGTACAAGTGGACTTGTTCAGTCATCCAGGCACTGGCGAGCAGAAAGTCACCGTGAAGAGTAAGTTCGCTCATTTTATTTCCTCTTTGGGTCTCAAACTCACTTCGCGAATATATTTTGATTCTTCCCTTTAGTTTTGGCAGCGAACGATCTGCGGTGGCAGACATCATCTGTGTTCAAGCCGTTCGTAGAAGTGCATTTGGTTGGACCTCACTTGTCAGACAAGAAGAGAAAGATGGCAACGAAGAGCAAACCAGGCAACTGGGCGCCCAAATTCAACGAGACTTTCCACTTGTGAGTCATTGTCAGATTTTTTCTATCATTTTTTTATCCGAAATTACTTCTGGGAAAGGTCAGGGCCGAAGAAGGGCAGAAACCGGAAGGTCTGAGCTATCCTCTTTGTACCTCTCGAGCACAATAGAGAATACCATGGGTGATGGCCATTTCAAATACGACCTCCTGCTCACCACGAGATGTGTATGTGAGTAATAGGGTTGGGATAGGTGGGTACATCAACTCTTTAACGTTCCCTGATCGGGTTAATGTGTCCTAGCACACTAGTCTAGGCGAACTTAGCCCTGGTGAGGAAGTAGGGAAACCAACTTCCCAAACTACCCAGACAGTATAAGTACTGATGATCGCTCAGCTCTCTACATGAAAAGTACTCAACAAAAGTTTAAAATGGTGGACGGAATTCTTTGAAATATTGACCTCAATTAGCGAAGCTGGTGGAGGCGAAAAGCACGCTTACCAGGTGCGGTCCCTGGGTCAGATTTGATTTGCTTCCACCCAGGCCAAGCGAGCCTCTACCCTCGCGGGCACGGTAAATGTGGTTCGCAAGTATTGTCTAAGCTTGAGTGAACACTGAGTGTACTGGGTTGGCTCCTGCAGGTACCATTGTATAGCCTCGATCGGCTCTGGTAAGCCACTGCGATTCTAAGTCGAATGCGTGCCGAAACCCAAAAAGGAATTGACTAACGTCGAAGGTTTTACCCTTCCTGCCCTTTATTTATGCGCGAGTTCGGGACGGGAGGGGGGGGTGTTATTGCGCCACTTTTGCTACTTCCCATCGACGTGATCGACCCATCTAGACAGCCTCTTCCTCGACGTTGAGCTAGATTCTTCAAGGCATGGGATGGCCTTGACCAGACTTGCACTACAGCCTACACCAAGAATGTTCAGCGAGGTTTCACCAGACGTGAGGCTTGTGAAGCGGACACTAAGTGATAGGGCAACGAGAAGCTGCGCTACTCAATCCACAAATAAACCCCCGCTCTCCCTCCGCCGCCACCCGCCGTCGCCGAACTGCGCCATTCAATTGTTCTTAATTTAATTCGACTTCGAACCGGAATTTCCAGGCCCACGACCTCTGCTTTGCGCATTTATTTCCCAGAAACTTCCCCAATTGTAATGTTTCCTTCCTTTTAATATATTACAATTTTTCAGTTTCCTTGGCAACGAGGGAGAACCGGAACACTACGAATTGATGTTCCAAGTGAAAGGACTACTGCTTTGCTCGCGAGGATAGAATCGTTGGAGTTGGTGTTCTTCCACTGGCGAATGTCGTCCAGAACAAAAATCAAGTGGTAAATCTGCAAATTTCCATTGAAACCAAAACTAGCGCATTCGTCGACTGGCATCGATAACTGGTTTTTAGCCATCCTTGAATTCCGCATAAAAAACTGGTTTGATCGTTTTAGCTTGTAGTTGTTTTCGCTGCGGACTCTGTTGCTCAGCTAGGGGGGGGGTAAGGGTTTGACTGGGTTTCCTCGCAGTGCTGCCCGTTTTCCATCAACTGCTGTCGCCCAGGGTCGCCACATCAGCAATTCTTGGAGAACGGGTGACGCGCGCGCCAAACCCACCAATGCGCCATGGCACCCCCTAGTATCCAAAAACGACTGTACATCCAATTATAATATACGTGGGTATGGGAAAGGAGGTACTGCAACGACATAACAAGCACATAGCGCTCAAAGGTCGAACGGGACATGCTATTTAAGGATTGCTCTCGGAACAGTTTTTGAGAAAATTGTACGTCCTTTAGTTTTGAAGAACTGTAGCAAGCGAATAGCCTAACCGCAACAGGCGTATATGAAGGTGCTATGAGGAAGGAGAACTGCTTTGTCCGAGATCAATCCAATACTAGTTAGTCTTATTCCCCACGGTTGGTATGACTTACACATTACCTGAAAAATGTACGAACGCACACGACTCCCAACGCCTTCTACTTCATCTTCACCGTTCTGGCTTCTCTGACGGTCAAATCGGGAATGAGGAAGGCCGGTCCACCGATGCTGGATAAAACGCGCTTCAAAACTATCTGCAGCAGGAGATCAATCGGTCTCTTACGTGGAAGTTAAGCTTGGATATTGCGTACGCCTCCGCATGTTCGGTACTCACTTCATTCCAAACTCCCACGCAAAGTAATCCCGCCGAAAAGTTAAGGGAACTGGGATGGACAATGTCTTTTATAAGTTGTAACCGCCTTATCTCTCAGTTGTTGTCGGATAGTGGTTGAATGAGCTGTTGAAATTTCCTCGAACAACTTTCCGGACACTCCTAATAGATAAAGTCGCGCGGCTGGTAAAATTCCGCAGCATTTTCCTATGTGCTCGCATTCTAGGTGGAGCTATGAGAAAAGGTGGAGCCAGGCTGCTGCGCACACCGTCAACAAGGGGAGGGCGCGTTTGAAATCGTAAGCAGGGTGTCACAGAGACAGAGGGATATGGGCGGAGGGGGGGGGGGAAGTGGGCTTTACCTTCGTTGGTCAGCATCTTGGGAGAGGAGAGCGTTTTTCTTGTTTGGGGGAGGGAAACTGAGTTCAAAGGGAAGGGAGGGTGAGAGAATGGGATAAATCAGGTCAATGAGTTGGCACCAGAAAGTGATTTCGAGCTGGCGACATGGCTTTGCTCATGACATTAAATGTCGCGCGCTCTGGTCGGGTAATTCGGCCTTCACTCAACAGCCTAGAGGTTAATGTAATTTAGAGCCTGCTTTCATATGGGCGGAAATGGCCGTCAGATGGTTCTTTCAAGGATCTGATTCAATTACACCTTGCTGAATAAGCACATTTTTAGTTCTTTGTGGAAGTCATTCTTAAAATAACTGAAGACGATTAGGTTACATAATTCGGGAGAATGTTTTTAATATATCTATTTAATGTGCAGTCATTAACTCACCATTACAGGCTTAACATTACTTTTTCTTTCGAGGTCATCTATTAGCTTATATCGGTGATCTTCAACACAGCTGGGATTCAAACGCATAGTCCGTGGTCATTGTATAGGCGAGACAAGGGCACTACTAAGCGAGTCCGTCAGTTGGTGGCGTCCCTTCCGCCTAAGGCGGGACCAGAAAACGATAACGCAGTGGAACGGTTCCTTGCTCCCGCTTTCTATGATCAACGCGAAGTGTGGCCTTTGAATACGGAGAGGCATCTGCCTTCAGTATGTGTTTTGTTAGGTGATTCTGTATTATTCAAACTGTTACTTTAGGTTCGTGTGCCATGTGGGTGCAACTCGGACAACGACTGCACATTGATGAGACGGGCCTGATCTTGCTGAGGATACTGAGTCAACGGCAAACAGATGAGGTGAGTTCTAGCAGTTTGGGACAAGATTTTCCCTAGTAGTCCAATGTGGGGAAAGATGTACAAAGTCTCATGCACTTTGGGACGCCCAAGTTGCGGTATGGCCCCAAAACTAGCTACGCATTTACTAGCTAGTTGACTTGACACACTTTAGCTTTGTCACGTTGAACCATGTGGACTCTAGCGCGAATGCTCATGACATCGTTTGCCACACTCTTCTTTCATTGTCCTCCTTGCAGTTGGAATGTTATGATTTTTCACCCTCCAAAGATACATTCCTCGATCACCCGGTGGGCGGGGACTTCCAGTTATGATGCCCTCCTTATTGGCGCCCCTCTCTTCCCTAGTTTGTTAGGAAGAAGAGGCCGTGTCGGTGAATGGAAGGCATGAATTGTTATGGTCTCCCGCCCTGTCTGGTTTTGGTGGCAATGTGTCTTTGCGCGAGTACGACATAAACAGTAGATGCCGTTTCTACCAGATCATCAGTCCGCTTACTAATCTTTTTACCTGGAACGCTCCTATTATTTCCATTTTTTTAGGTGGCACGTGATTTTGTCCGGTTAAAATCGGAATGTCGTCATGAGACGGAGAGCACGTTGACGGCTTCAGCCAGCAGTCAAAACATCGCCCGATGACATTACCAAACCATGATTGATCAACTGACCATCGATCAATCAATCGATAGTCTGGTTTCTCGGGAACTAACTAGAAATGACCTTTATATATTGCGGGAATATTTTTTGTTGTTGTACATCTATAATACAACAGTTGTTGTTGTGCTATCACATACGTGTATGAAGACCAGTGATTCCTTCATTAGATTCATTCATTCATTCTTAGCCACAAATGCTCTCTCAAATCCTGGCAGTAATTTTTTCATTCCCTCTGGCAGGAATTTTCGAAATTTTGTTTAGAAAATTTATCCTTTGATCTCCATAAATTTCCTCCTTTCAGGCGTAATCCATCTGGGCCTAACCCTGTCTAAATTCACAAAAAAAAGAAGAAAAATAAACCTAGTCGAGAATCCAGAATTTAGTTGAAGGCGCTCAGCGGTCCATTTTTGTGGACTTTTTGCAGGATTGATCCTCTCCCCTCCACCCCATTTGGTATACCAGCCTCGATAGAACTCGTATAGAACTGCCAGTGGGGAGATTACTGTCGTGTTTTACTCTGTAATGTTCTCAACGTTTTTCAAATAATGTTCCTTATATTCAGGATTTCACAAAGCCTATTTCCAATTGCTACAGAGGACTATTTTCATGTTCATGTGATTTTAAATCTATACAATTCGCGTTATTTAATATATTAATAGAATAGCCGCAAATGATCCTAGATTTACCAACGGTAATATGGGGAACTATTCTGTAAGATTTGCTATCTATTCCAGTGCCTTTTTTAATCGTAATATAATAAATAAAATTTTTGTGATATTGTTGTCTCATGTGGTTTTACACCATTTTATGTTTATAAAGTGTAAATACAGAAGACAAAAGCGGCAATCAAACAGTTTATTACTGTTTATTATTTTGAAGTACTTTTCTGATTACCGGGGTGGGGAAGGCGGTGAGGGGTAGTGAAGAAGTCTTTCTTCAACGCACGTAAGACTTCCTTTTTCAAAGTTATATCAGTTATGTGAAGAAACGTAAAAGCATTGCTGCACAAATGCACGCGGCTATGATCTACACTTCATATCCTGTAGATGGAGTGGGCGTGGCCGCGCACCTTATTTGAACGTGACCGCTGCGTTTTGGTGGAATACTGCCGTTTTGGAGCGACCGAAATCGTACATTTCTCCAACAGAAGAAGAATGAGAGTATGTCTTAAAAATGCATCCCTTACCAGGTTTGAGTGAAGTACGTGCACGGTTACGCCCTCTCCATCTTTGGAATATGTGGGGATATGGACTCGGGCACGACGTATATTGGGAATTCCTAGCGAAGAGGGTCGTATTTGGTCGCAGGAGGGAAGGGTGGAGCCGTACTTGTTTAAAAAAAACGTTTTTGGTTGTTGACTTTTTCGGTTACCCCCACTTTCCTCTAGACGGCGATTTTTGGAGAAAAAAAGTGGAGCGATTTCTGGGGAGAGCTCTGAAAAGGTGATAGGATGTTGAAAATTAAGGAAGATGGTAGGTGGGATGGGGTACCAAAGAAGGAAACTTCGAGAGAAGGGGGGGGGTCATATTTTGCAACATTCATGCCCAGGCAGGACGTGCCCTGTATGGAATACGTTCAGCGTTAGTCCCTTCTAGAATGCGGTACTAGTTATATAAAGAATTTTGGTAGATCTGGTCATCGTAATAACTTTGGTCCATTCAAAGCCCAAAGGGGACTTGAGTACATACTTTCCTTGTTAGTGCGTAATCATACCCTCCAAAGACTGCTGAAAGAGATGTCAAAGAGGGTGTGAATTAGCCCCAATTCACTAGCCCTTGATCACTTCTCACATATTTAGATTCCTTCCAGAGAGGTGATATCTTTTTATCAACCCCCTATCTTCTGAGGAAAAGCCTTTCTGTACCACTTTGATACTCCGGAGCTCTAGGTTTGTGACCATTTATCCCTCGGGTAGCGGCTCTTCAAAGTGACAAGGAAAGGTCTAGAAGCCGTTTATTTCTATTTGTCGTAGCCGAAATTAAAAAAGCATTAAGCTTGTAAATGAGCCTATGCGTAAGTGTTGTAGACAATTAGAAACTAAGGCACGAACGTGTTACGATATTCGATTGTTAGCTGAAATCATTATATGTGAAAGCAGTTATACATTG